AAGTCTGAGTCGCCTTGTCCTTGCAAGCAGCGGGCCAGTATCCCAGCGCGCTGGCAAGGTCCTCTCCTCACCACACTGCAACCGCGCATGCACTGTGATGTCGGTGATGTCTCCGGGCAGGGCAGTCAATGATTTGCAAGGCATCCCCGGCTCTGTTCCATACTTCGCGTGTCTTAATTTGAGAAAGAAAAATGATAGAATCGGTGCGAGAAGTATGGCCTCCAGTATTGGCATAGACATAGAACGTGGGACTACAAGGAAAAAAAGTGTTGCTAAAGCAAAGAAAGCGCCGCTCCGCAAACCTGCGCAGCAACGTGCCATTCTGGTTCTCTGGCGCTGCATTGGCTCTGCCGATGCTTGGTGTCCGCTGGGCGTGTACACATGCTGGGCCCTCGGTACTTTGTTCAGGCCCAGTTGGGCGTTACCATCCAAAAACACCAATGGCACACACCGGTGCCCTTGCGCAGGAACCACTTCACACATCCAGCGACAAATCTTTTTCAGAAGCACGTGTTTTGGCGCCGTTGGGCGGCAAGTATGCCACAGCGCGCAAAATGTCCAACTGTGGTGTTTTGAAGGCTTGGGTGAGGCTGGAAATTGAATGTTGCCAGGGTGGAAATTTGAATTTCAGCCTCTTGGGGGTCTGGGTGGGGATATGGCCACAGAAGGCTGAAATACAAAGTTCAACCTCTGCCCCCGAGACACACCTGCACAGCGCAGCTTCTCTTGGCAGACGAAATTTGGATTTCAAACCATTCTTTTTCCCAACGGAGCCAAAGTCGGATCAGCTCTGTTCCATCTTGACTGTCCTCTGCGGCGTTCTCTTAAGGCTTTAAAAGTATCTTCCATCTGCCTCAAATGGTTGCAGACTGCTTGGCGCAAATCATCGTGATCGAGACAAACTCCAGCGCTGAAGGAAATGGCAACGAACATGCAGTGTCCAGCCGCTGAAGGCCGAGATCCTGCAGCCGGCTCGATACCTTGCGACGAGCCTCTTCCATTTGGATCAGTGTTTCGCGCGATTCCGCCAATGACTGTTCGCATGCCATGTGCAACATGGTCTGTCCCCACTTCTCCTCAGGGGACGCGGTAAACATGCGCAGTGCTCTAAGAAGGAAGGACAGCAGTAGTCTAGGAAAAAACGTTTCTACCCATGTTGGTAACAGGGGTTCAAGCAACAAGCCGAGCGACAGCTGCATCTTCCACGAGGTCGCGCCATTCCGACAGGATCTTGTCATTTTTGTCCTTGGCAGACCATTCCAAATAGTGTTGGCGACAAAAGTTACCTTCCACCCGTTCGCGCTTACACCGTCCACCTCTGCTCAAAGGGGCTAGACAGCGCTCTGCTTCATCAGCAGCTAAACAATGAAGATGGGCTGGCTTGGACGACTCGGCAGCTGATCCAGGCAGAAAAGCGCAGGATCTTTTGCGCGAACCATGCCATCCTTTGGCTGCGGGGGTTTCAACATGGCCTGCGTTCGGGCAGAACGCTTGGCCTTGGCTTTCGGCTTCTTGGGCTGCGGTTGGGGAGACAAGGGCCCCTTGGCCAAGGGCTTCAAAAATCCGTGGGCGTCCTGCGCAGGCACTGGGAAAGACAAAACAATTAAAAGACGACAGCCACTTGTCTTTATCAACAATCAACAACATATCATTAGTAAACCTTCTAGATGAACATGTTTTTACAAAAACACAACTTCCTTTCACCCAAAGCACCATGAGCTGTGACAGAAAGAGCGTATGTTCAGATTGGCCTCCGCCAACGACGACGACATAGTTCCTGTGCGGGTCAACCCATTGCCCCGTGTCTGTCATATAGACTGTGGTGTACCTCTGACGCAACATTTTGGGTCTCAGGACGCTCCAAGGCTCGAAGAACCTCGTCCTTTGTGGACGCAAGAGATAACTTCACCATAACACGCATTTCCTCAGGCTTCTCAGAAGCATGACGCGAGGTGTACTTGGGAAGCACGTCAGCCACTCGTGCCTTGTCACCGTTCTGCAGGACAACATCGCACGCGCTCGCAAGGTATGTGCCTCGGGCCCCATGTTTGCGGAAATGCTCCAAGAGATCCGTTCGGTCAAGCCGCCGAACCTTCTGCGAGTCTCCTGACTGGTCGGCAGCTGTAGACAACCTCTTGCGGCGGCACAAGGTCAGCTCTGACCAGGGCTGTGTGATCGATGAAGACAAAGATGCATAGTCTCCCTTTTCAAGTCTGGTAGCCAAGCCTTCGCAAACATCTTTCATCAACTCGCCGTGCCACGAACAGCATAGCCAGGATCGAGGAAGGACTTCGCAACTCTGTGGCTACACTCAATGGCGTTCGGCGCGTAACTGGAAAAACCAAGTGGCACAGTGCCGAGCCCCGACCTCCACGGAGCAGAGAAACCAGTTTCGTTAACGGTCAATATATTTGCTTCCATGTAGGCCGCCATGAGCGGCTCATTGAAATTATCATGGACCACAAAGAGATGGTACAACCCTTACAGCGTCCCACAAACAGACTCCAAATCAACTTTCCAAGAAACGTGCTCAAGGCACCTGTGCAAACGCAAATCCAAACCGTTCTCTTGGCAAGCAGAAGCGACGGCGTGGTAGCACGAGCAATCTGCGAAGATATCTTCCACGGCGACCTCTAGATCATTGGCTTTTGCGAGCGCAAGATTCAGCAAAAGTTGCTGTGAGTCTGCGTCCTCAGAGCTGCTGAGTACAAAGTACCGAGGCAGGAATCTCATAAAGGACCTTTGGTGGCCGAAAATATCAATCCGCAAGGACCGACTCCTCCAAGGAGGAGGCCTTGCTTGTTCGTGGAAAACGTGAAGTCCAGCAAGCAGGTGGACAGGTTGCTCTCCACCCAAATCTTGTCCAGATCATCAGTCATCAATGTGAAAGGCACGACTATGCGGTCAGGTGGGCACACCACATGGTCCTTCAAAATCTGAACATCTGGGGCGGGCTATCCACAAAGTTCATGAGCTCACCTACACACTCCACTGAATAGCCCTCTAACCTGCGAGCAATCGATTGTTTGCGCCTTTGGTTCTTGATCTGGGCAATGGAAGGCCGAAGTGCGTCCGAGATCTGATCACGCTTCATGTACTTCAGCGCCCTATTTGGAGTGCCCTCTTTGGCAAACTGCTTGGCGTAGTGCCTCTTCAACCGTGAAGCATTTTTTCGCCCCTCACATTTGCCTGACTCTTCTACACGGAGAGACCCTTGATCCGTCCAAAGCACCATTGATGTGAGCACGATTCACATTCATAGCATCTGGCAATCAAAACTACCAACTTCTCAAAGGACGAGTTGGTCCAGGTTTTGTGTAAAATGTTTTTCTCTTTCAACCAAGTTTGGGCAGCCACACGCAATTTTGGACGCAATGTTTGGCCAGAAGGGACGTCTTGGACGGCAATCTGTCGCCATTGCTTTCGCCGGCGTGAGCCCTCTGCTGCTTCTACTATTTGGTCCGACATCTCCACAAACAAGGCCGAACTTTAAATTTCAATCCACATGCCAAAATAAGATCACCTTCAAATATCGGCCCATTACAAGCTGTCCATCTCCACTACCCAGTTGAAAATTGAATTTCACCTTGTATTGCTGTTGCAAGCTCAAATTTGAATGACAACTGTGCAAGCACGAAAAGGAGCGAAAATTCGAATGTCAACCACAAGATTATCTATCTGATGCCCAGAAGTTGGAAATTCAAATTTCAATTGAGTATGACGTAGTCATCAACTAGCAAGTGGAAAAGCTGAAATTTGAATTTCCACCTTTTGGACATTTGATTTCTAGCCTTATTTGTGTTTTGAACCTAGCTGCACCCACTCGTCCTTGCAGCCCCCCCTCACCACTCCAGTGTCCCTGGAAGTGCTTCGGGCTGATGTACCTGCGACGCACCCACAGTTCCAGACCTGTGGACAGCTCACCTTTGCTCCACTGCAGCCGGGCGAAGGGGCCAAGCCGAGTCTTTCCCACCAAGCCAACAATGTGGCAAGCCCGGAATTGTTCCAAACAATCTTGGTCTCTATCGGCCTGTACCATTGACAGGGATTGTAAACACAACATCGAATACCACACATATGGTGTGAAAACACGGCAGTGGCGGTGATTGTCTGCACAAAGGCATGGGACCATCAACGGCCGGTCAATAACTGCAATGGTTCGGTAGGGCGCCGGGGCATGCTTGATACCTGAAGCGCCTAATGCAAAACCAAAGGACAATCACAAGACATTAATACAACATGGAATTAGCATCAAAGGACGTTAATGCGAAATGATGGGAACATGAAGGGGAAGGAGTGCAACATGAAAGGAACATGTAAGAAAATTACTACAACATGAAAGGACATGTCTACAGGAAAAGAGCCTTCAGCATGCAATGTTACATTTTAAGGAATTGGCAGCAAAATATGACAAATTGCGAGCACTGAAGAGGATACCCAAATGACCGGTTTGAACATATCACCCTTTGAAGGAAATGGAAAGGAAAGGAAAGGAAAGCAACATGAAAGGAACATGCAAAAAAAGCAAAATGAAAACAACATGAAAGGAACATGAAAGCAATGCATGCACAATTAAAGGAACATGAAATGAAATGAATGCAAAGTGAAAAGACAATAAAAGGAACATGCATGCAACATGCAAAAGGACAATGACAGGAAAGGAATGCAACATGAAAGGACAATGAAAGGAAATGACCGCAACATGACAGGAAAACGAAAGGAACTTAATGCAACATGAAAGGAAAATGATAAGAAAAGTCAGCTAGACGAAGTGTCAAACTTCCTAAGTTACATTTGTTGACCCCCCGCACTCATCAAACACGAAAGAAACAAAATGTAACTTGGAATGTCCCCACGTGTGAAGTTACATTTTCCTGTATTTTAGCCTACCCCCCCCCCACCGGGGTATGCCCACAAATACGTGGGAACGGGGTCAAGTGGAATCTAGAATGCACCGGACTCTGCGCACAATTGATTGCTGGACGCACCAAGGTGCAGTCCTCGGGAGACATACAAGTAGCAAGCGTTTTGCACGCTCTACGCAGCAGTCAAAGGCATCTGCTATGGCTTTGGCAACCTGCAGGCTTGCAAAATAGGTCCTTAGAGCAACTATGCTTGGGCCACTTGGACATTTTGGATAAAGAAATGCAATTACGATCTCCATGACATCAATCAATTACGCGTCGTCCTGACTCCAATTACTTATCTGACATGGTCAAGTTGAAACGAAAAGACAACTTGCAGGCATCATCTAACACATGCGTGTATGCTACACGTGCGCTGCGGGCAATCAACTGCGTGTTCGATTGACGCACCGTAATGCACATTGCGATCGTTGCAATTGGAAGTGCCCATGTCCATAAGAAACATCTTTTATTCTCATTGTCAATCTTTGTGTTTCTGCAATTACATGTGTTTACGTTGTTGTAACTATAACTGAGGTGTAAGCCTAATACCTTGGGAGAAAAAACAACAGCCACTTGCAAATACTCACTCGACTTTGGTATGAACCAGCGGCAGGTACAATGGTACAAGCTGAGCAGCACGACACTGCATCCACATGAACAAATTGTAGAACAGCACATCCGCAAAGGAAATCACGGGCATCTTAATCTTGAATAATCGTGAAGCATCTAGTGCGGCAAAAGCTTTGCTATTCCTCGCCGGACATTCAAGCGTCTCAATCCATCCCAAACCTGATTCAATTGCCAGAAGACTAAAGAACTAAAGAAGCAAACATGTTCGCTCTATTTGAACATCATGCAGCAGCATCTACAGCAACCACAAAAAAGCAACTGTTCAACAAAGTTTCACTCCTAAGCAACGTGACAAAGGAAACACGCCTCTCACTGCTCTCACCACTGAGTGACATTGCAAACAAGTTGACTAGTGCAAAAGGAATGCAGTTCCAGTTCGCAAAGCATATGCCAGAACACTGAAGGCAGGCACGATGGCAAGGGCCACCGAACAAAGAAGGAGAACTGTCGCGTATGAGGAAACCGAAGTAAAGGCGTGAACATAAAACAACAAATGAACACGCATTGACACAACAATCCGTCAAATTCCGTAAACTTTTGTGTGGGAACATCGCGATGCAAATGTAAATTTTGTCACACATCAAAGCGAACAGTTCACACAAGGAAACAAAAAACATAATGACAGCTGAACATGTTGACGCTACGACATGCCTTCTGTACATTGACATTATTCACTCTAACATGGTGTAGTTCAATAGAATCCATTTTGACAATGTTTTGATAGCAGCGCATTTGTGCTGTTTTGGCCTTGACACATGTTTCTGCGGCTCGTCAGTAGTCTATCCCTCATTTGAGAACAACACTTACGAAGCAAACATATCATGAGGTAAGAGAATCTTCCCGCCCAAACTTGAAACTGCATAATTCTGTCTGCGGTGGGACGAAACGATCATGTTGATTGATGTTGATGTCTTGTTGTTCGGGTGTTGAATCACCATGGCCAAAACTAACGGCGCAATGTGCCTCATGCTCTCAACATGTCAACTTCCACATCATGCCTCAAGACACTTGCAGTATGCCTGTTCACGCTCAGACTACGAAAAAACGGTTCTATCTACATGTTGCGGGGATAACAAAGTTCAGTATATCAAGACTCAGGTCCTGCAAGGCCACACGTCTTCCAAACGCCTAACTACAAGACCAAACGACTTAACCCCGGTACCCAGTATTTGTCAGTCAGTCACTCAGCCACTCACTCACTCCGTGAATCATACACAGTCGTTTCAAATTTATTGTGGAACTTATCTAGGCCCTTCAGGCTGACTGGACCTGTTTCAAAGAAATTCGTTTGGGGCGCCGGTCTGCAACCATCTCTGCTGCAAACCAAGAACACCCGATCAGCACTATTGTGGTCCTCTGCATCTTTTAAAATATCCTCATATACAGTGACAGCTTTCTGTCAAATTCTGCACCTGTTCGTACCAGCTAATAACAGCAAATACTACAATGAGTACACATACGTACGGCAAAAGGAATGACACTAAAACATCCAAAATGTATCAAAATGCCACAACAGTGTTAAAGTTCGTTAAAGTGCAACTAGAAAGCTAAATGCCAAAGAGATTGATACAAGTTCGAACATGGACCCATGTGTCGGACAGCTCGAAAAACATTGTCTTACAAATACTTTTCTATACGTTTCTGCTGAGTCACCTCCCCAGACCCGAGCAAGCCTCTGAGCCCGCATTGCAGAAGGGAGCCATGCCGCAAAGAACTCACACTCTGCGGTTCAGTCTTCTGCATACAAGGATTTCAAGAAGTAGACACTGACACTGCACTTAGACGGCCTTTCTGCTTGTGTATTTGCATCATGCAACGCTCAAGCTGCTCACAGCTCTCCCTTCGCTTTCAGCATGGCCTGAGGCAGTGGAACAGTCTGTGTCGGACCACTCAAGATCTCAAACTGGCTGAACCACTCTCTGGTGTGGAGCCTTTCCGCTTGAAGGTCGCTGAACGCCATCTGAACAATTATCAAATGAACGCTTGTGGGGACATTTGACATCCTGAGACAACCGCACCCGGTCTGTGATGCGAAGCCGGTCTATGTTCTGCAAATGCTTGGACAAAAGACCTCAAGGTCACAAAAATTCACAAAATATTGTGGAGTGCCTAACACTCACATTGCAGGACCTTTCTACATTGACTTGCTTCCTTTCAGCAGCATTTCCAAGCCGGGTTCCGTGCATAGAAGGCACCTGGCACGTAAATCACTGTACTGCCAAATTCACCAAACATCTTGCCGCCTCTGAGGATTCCAAAGATCCATCAATGGCGGCTGCCAAAGATCCACCGCCACTTAGTTGAGGGATGTCATTTTCGGGCCTTTGCACAGTTTTTCGCACTCAAATTGAACTGCTTCACTACACTACTATTCACCGTTTCACATGTATGGACTAACAAAGGATTTGACACTGAGGCCAATGCCCTCGATGGTGTAGCTTGGCTGTTGCCTTTGATTCATGTGGCCCAACTGTTCCCAAACGGTTCCATCAAAACACAACAACTTTGAAGCAAACACATGCAAACAAGCACACGATGCCTGGAGGAGGTTCAATGAATTCCCTTCATTTGCATGGTCTGGCGCATTCCAGTTTCAAAGTTTCTGGCATTTCATGCACTCCAGTTGTTTCGCTGGGGCGTCCTTCCAACCTTGCCTCAAACCGCAACGTCAACTGAAGGCCAAACCGGCCAGAACGTCAAAATTCCAAGCCTTCAGCAGTGAGGTCACCCAACAACGCATCTTCCAGGAAGGTGTCGAAGGTGTCCAACGGCTGCCAACGACTCTCATCACACTGCGCCCCGAATCTGCTTGAACTTTGAAGACAATCAAATTGAACATTTCTTCACGTGTCATCAACTGTCACTGAAACCTCAAACATCTGCAGTGTGCACTGTTGTGACCTACGGAAGTCATCAATCCTACCTCAAGACCTGAAGTTCTCTCTCTCTCTCTCTCTCTTGTGAAACCTTTGGAACCGCAAAGTGCCTTTTTGCATGTCCTTTATCATCTGTTGTCTAGCCGAGTCTAGCCGCAGTGGAGTGATAATTGTGGGACTGCACTAAACGAAACTGCTACAATCAAGGGGTACCAATTCTGATCAACTCGGCGTACCTGCGGCGAAGTTGCGAATGTTTTAGCCTTTCTCCAATCAAAGTGGCCAGGCTGTTGCACATGATTCGGGTCAGAAAACATGCATTTCGATCCGACCGCTGTTGTTGGAACTTTGAACTTGGGCCTTCTTGTTGGAGCCTCAATATGGTGACTTGGAACTTGGACGGGTTTGAGACCACAATCCATGGTTGAACACCTTTGCACTCACTCACCAAATGCCCTTTCACTTGCGCGCTTGGTCTGTAGCGCACTCACATGTACTAACTTGTATCTCGAATGTGTGTGTGTGTGCACCCCTTGGAATCAAAGGGATCCTGTAGGATTGCTTTGACTCTTTTAACTGCAGGGGAGTGCGGCGTGATTGTGGGACCGCACTCAACGAAGCTACCGTAATCACAGGATAATGCGTCGGCAGTCATGTACGGTACGTCGTCATCCCGTCGGCTCGTCGTTTCGTGGCCTTTAACTAAAGGCACGCAGTCCCCCTCAGCTGGTTTTTCAGGATTTGGTTTCTTCGGCTGGCGTGTGGCGCCACTGTCCAGTCAGTATGCATAATCATAAGTGTGTCTCTCCTAGTGAGAGCCCAGGGTGACCCGTCGAACGGGTGTTTGTCGAACGTATCCTACGGGATACAGAGCAGCTCGCAGCGAGCGTAGGTGGCCTAGGCCGAGAGTACTCAGATTTGTCGATTTCTTGAATTCCAAGCTGGCTCATGCCTTTACGTGACCGCAGTGCTCAAAGCAGCCAGCCACTTTACCAGGCCACCAGGTGACCACAACAGCGATCAGAGTATTTTTGAAGTTCATTGGAACCTGTCGGGACCTTAAGTACACACAGCGCGTACGTACATGTTCAACGAGGCTTGCCTAGGTTCTTTAATGAGGTTTGGGTTCATTGGTTTTCGTCCCCTCCATTTGGTTCCCTTTTCATCCTTTTCCCCTTCAAACACACATCTGTTCTCCTCTTCTCTTTCATGTCCTCCTGTCTTCATGTCTTTCATCTCATCTTTTCTTTCGTTTGCGCGCGGATTGGTCCCGGCCTTAGCGTGTACGCGCGCAACTACATGTACTTTAAGCCCAGGCTTTAGGTGGCCCAGGTCTTTATAATGAGGTGGGTTTCATTGTTTTTCCCTGTGCACTTGGTTCCCCTTTCATCACAACCACATACACCTTTGTCCCGCCCCGTCCTCTTGTCATGTCTTCATTCTTTTGTCTCTCGCGCGCGCGCGCGCATTTGCCTTTACCTTAGTTTTACGACTCCCCTCGGGGAGGCGCGTGTGTGTACCCTTGGAGGGATCCTGTAGGATTGTTTTGACTCCTTTAATTGCAGGGGAGTGCGGCGTGATTGTGGGACCGCACTCAACGAAGCTACCGCAATCACGGGATACCGAGTCGGCGTACCTGCAAGTTTTCAACCTTTGGTAAAGTGCTACTGCGTCGGCAGTCATGCACGGTACGTCGTCACCCCGTCGGCTCGTCGTTTCGTGGCCTTTAACTAAAGGCACGCAGTCCCCCTCACCTGGTTTTTCAGGATTTGGTTTCTTAGGCTGGCGTGTGGCACCGCTGTCCAGTCAGTGCGCATAATCATAAATGTGTGTTACACCTAATTACTGTAAAACACAAGGAGTCTGCGTACCACGTCATCTCTTCGTCACACTTGCTTGCAACAAAGGTCAAGAAAAGTACAGGGTCCTTGGATGAAAGGCCTCGTCCCATGCCCAGCAAATTGCCCCGCACAGGAGCAATATCTTAAGTTCCTAGAGCAAATGCATCACCTTCGTGTCAGAATTGTGAACTTTAACCGCAATCACGTATTGTCTTACAGAAAGCCAGCCTTGACTAGCATGAAAACAGTTCTGTCACCTGAAAACAACACTCAATCCAAACACTTGAAACTAGTGCTGGGCTCGAAACGCCAGGTTTCGGGCATGTGGGAGAGGTTTCCCAATAGCTGTCACATGAGCCAGCTCCAGCAGTGTGAACTTCCACTTAGTTGGCTACACCATGACCATTTTTAGCAACTTGATGCCACCAGTGCAAAAACGGAGAAGGCTTCAAAATGTTCAGCATTTTCGCCCGTTGTCGCTAGCTTGATATCCGCCGCCCAAGGACATAGAAACTGTAAGGCGTAGCCCCTCCAGACCTCATGTCCACGCAACAAGTGTGGTTTATGCCCCCACTAAACCGTGGCCACCAAGCGCTGGGCTTTTCCGGCACCGGAATGTGAATCTCCTCACAGCACAAGAGGGGGTTAGGCGAGTGCTCCACACAAGTGGAGTTTTTAACATTGATTTTCAAACGTGGTTGCGCTTTTAGCCAAGCAGGTTTTTGCGCAATATTTACGGGTGGCATCCAAGGGATTTCGTTCTTTCTCGTTGTGTTTCACCAGGTCATCTCTTGCAAAGGCTGGGGGGCGGACGTTTCCAACAAAATCATCTGCAACACGTTGCGCGCAGTGGGACGTGACGAGTGATGCCTTTCAACGTGGTGCAAAAACCGTGCGCGGGGATCTGATGTGGTGTGTGGCAAAATGCCTTGCGACGCTACGTGTTAATGTGATTCTCTTGTCACAAACCCTGTTGCCAAAACCATATATATTTTTGACTCCGCAAACCGCTGCAAACTTTACTTCATTGTACCTTCCTGTCGGTTTGCAACAATACAATAAGCTCGCTCTTGTGTTCTTTTTCGTAGGAGCCTTTCTCTCATGCGCTCCGCTTTGGCGCTTTTGTCCTTCAAACTGTTCCTTACATTGCGCCATTTCCCTGCACTCCCCACACTTCTGAACGTTTGTGTAGAAAACGCCTGCTTTTCTGTAGACCGATTGAAGCTCTCTCGCTCTTATCACTACCCTCTGGATCCCTCCGGAAATATCTACTGTATGATGTGTTTCTCTAGAAGTATCAGTATGAGCCTGCAACAATGGGCCTGCGCGGGCTCTCTTGAGAATCACAGGGCTGAAATCAGAAGCAGTGGATGACGAGCTTGTGGACGAAGAGGATGAAGCGTGGTGTCCCTTGCTGGCACTGATGCCTTTTCTTTTCGCCGCTGTCTTCTAGCAATGAATGCTTGCTTCTTGCGTTCCATCTCTTCAGCGGTTGGGGGGCGCGGTGGCGCATGCGACTGGTGCTTGGCAAAAGCTTTTCCTGAGCAGCTTGTCGTAGGGTGGAGTCAAAGTGCTCCAATTTTCCTTTTGAAGCACTGTCCTGCGGATCCTTTCCTCTGGCGCGGCCTGCGACAGGTCGGCCTGGCTTAGCTTCTTGCGCGCGAGCAATGAGAGGTGGCCCTAGATCAGGGTGCCGAAGGAGTTCCTGCGTGTACTTGTTCACAGCTCGCTTGTCAGCAACGGACAAAGGCATTGCAATGTTGAGTGGGTGCGTGAAATTTGGTGTACCTATCTCTAGCTTAATTTTTATCAGCCTTCTGTTTGCTGGGATGTATAACGCTAACGTTTAAGTTCTCAAAAGAAAGGCTAGATCAATGTCTTCGATAGGGAATTTAATTAGCTGTCTTGTCAGCAGGACCTGGGCAAGTGGCTATGAAAGCTGAAAGCATATCCAATAAGGGCTGGCAATTGTTTAAAGGATTTTTTTTTCGCGTTCTTTTTGGGAATTTGTTTCTGGTAGCGCTTTCACATAGTGGTTCCGTGGCAGGCAAAGCATTTGAGTACCTTCAGTTGCTCATTTTGTGGCAGGCGGAGCATTTCGTGAACCTCGATGTCCAGATTTCGTAGCAGGCACAGCATTTTGTGAACCTTCAAGCGCAGACCTCGTGGCAGGCGCAGCACTTTGTGGGAGGTGGCAGGCGCAGCACTTTGTGAACCTGCAGCACTTCTTTGAACCTCAAAGTGCAGATTACACTTCAGAACTCACGCGTGAAAGAATGAAGCAATGCGAAGGTCACAGCTGGAAGCTAGGGGCAAGGACAAAGCGTGCCTTTTTTCGCGTCGGCTGGTTCACATCACTTTGGATAGGTGGTTTGAAGCGCAGCTATCCTCTCGGCAGCGGGTAAGGGATCAAGAAAACAAATTATAGGGCCGGATAACCCCACATGGGAACAACTTCGAAAGATTGAAGCTGCAAACATAAGGTGCTGAAGAGTGAGCATGGGGAAGAGACAGGCGAGACAAATAGAATGCGTAAGGGTCGGTGTGTGTAGGTGAGGTGTGTGTTTGATTGTATGTGCTTGTCCGTGGGTGTGTATGAGTGTGTGGGTAGACTTGCTTCTGTTTAGTGGTTGCCCTGGTTGCCCCTGATAATTTTTTTTGAATGTGACGCCCTGTCAATCAGATGTGCTGCCCTTTGGATTTTGCGGCAATGTCAAGTCCACACTCATTTTCCATGTATCAGGCCGCGCAGTGCTGCCCTTTGGAGTTACAATGTCAAGTCCATATAATGTGTGAGGCCTAACATGTCAATAATTTGCCGTGAAATTTTCCTGACATATAATAATAAGCTCATTAAACTAGATCTGGCTGGCAAATAGATAATAGGTTGGTGCGAAATCAAATATGTGTTATAGTTATCTTTTTCTGTTTTCTGATTATGTTTTCTGGCTCCGTTTTAAGGTTTGCGCAATTGTATTTGAAGACCTATGTCTGTGTTTAAAGATATTTTTGCAGACGTGTTTGCATAGTCCCCGGCCCGGTTCGGTTCAAGCATGTCACAGTAGTAAATCCACTGATGCAGGTACACACGACGCGATGTTTCTTTTGTTACTGGTCACTTGTCAGTTCATGTTTTCCACATGCGAGGGTTGAATTAAGTTAGTTGCATTGTTTCCACTGTAGTGGGCAATGGGGGCGGCAACAGCAAGACGTCAGATGCACGAGGCGCCATCACGTTTTTCTTTGTCAATCGTCTCCAGTGTGCCATCGTCGTCTGTCAATTGAAAATCCTCAGCCATTAGACATTCATCCATCATCGAACTTCAACATGGCCCTGACAGGCGGAGAGACGGGAACATCAGGACAAAGACACTTGGTTGATTTAATTACTGGGAATGACGCAGTAGTCCGGACAGACCTTCAGACGGAGAAGCCGAAACCATTTGACCGCTGCATTTTTTAGATCAACCTGACAGACTCACTGACCGCGACCGCAGCCTGTCCGCCATGGCAATGATGATGCCGTGCCAAGAAGTGTACCGCAAAGTCTGGCCAAGCACGTTCCGTGGCTACAGGCTGGGTCGGGTGCGAACTGAGTGACCATGACAGAATCAAACCTTTACATTGTTACGTTTTTGATCAATCATTTTTCAAACTTCGTTTGATTGTTTCGTGTTCGTGACAGGCTGACGGAACTCAAGTGGGTCATGGGAGAAGTGACAGAGGTCTGGACAAGAGACTCCGTTACTTGGCTGTGAATGCAATCAAAAGAAAACATATTTTTGGTCGTGACAGTTGGACTTGTCCTGAGGCGGCACGCATCATGGATTTCACCAACGATGAGCCGCCCATCCAGAATGACAAGGGCACAGGTGCCAGGAAAGACAAAAGAAAGGCCGCCAATACGAAGGGCACCAAGACGACCAAGGGAAAGGGCGGCAAAGGCGCGAAGACTAAGACTACCAAAGCTGACAAGACTAAGAAGCCTAAGACCAAATGAGCAGAATACAGTCAGTGGCTTTTGAACTTTTGACAAGCAGTCAGTGTCACCAGAATGTTGAAAAAAAGACTTTGCTGCTTGCCGCTGTCGGTCATTACAGCCACGATAGCTGATGGGCATAATAAACTTAAACGCAATCAGTTTTATATTCGCCAGCGTCCGATGGGCTTAGCCGGGCTCGCTGTCAGTAACGTGCCAGGTTTTTGCCCGTCTAGGACGGGCTTAGCCGGGCTAGTCTAAATATGTCTAAATTATGTCTTTTTATACTAGGAGCCTGTAACCTTTCAAGATTGAGCCAGGTTTCGCCCGTCTATAACGGGCCTAACCGGGCTACTTAGTAAGTCTAATGAGTCTTAACTTAATTATAACATATTATAACTTGGGTTGAGCCACTGGTTCGTTTAGGAAGGTTAGGCCAGGTTTCGCCCATCTCGCACGGGCTTAGCCGGACTGCTGGCTGTGCTGCATGAGTCTTGGAACCAGGTTTCGCCCGTTTAGGATGGGCCTAGTTACTGGGCTAGTTACTGGTATTAGTTGTTAAGCCAGGTTTCGCCCATAGCCGGCCACTCGCCCAGCGAATCCTTCAGTTATTGATTGTTTATTTGATTAATATCATTCCGAAATGTTGCTAGACCTGATCCTGATTCTGTTCCTGGACAGCAGCCATGAAAGAATTTGAATGTTTGGGAGAAAATCACTTTGCTGTTGCGCTACGTGCCTGTCTTTAAGTCCGCGGTCGCCGTCAATGACGGGCGGGATGCCGGGCGCGGGCGCCGGGCGCCGGGTGCCGGGTGCCGGGTGCCGGGCGCCGGGATGCCTTGACTTCAATATGTCGTCTTGTCTGTCTTGACAAAACTATTAAACAGCGTTCACAGAAAGCGCATGGGACCTAGCGGTGATCGAGAGCGGCTCTGTAACTAAGGTAAAGAGTGGCATGTTTTCTGGTTGCTTCAAACTTGTTTGCCACACTCGCTGTGAACTTACTGCTCATGCTTGTGGTTTTTAGGGCTCAAGCACTGAAGCTTCTGCAACACAAGGCAGCTGAGTGACCGAGTGACCAGAAGATGTAAAAAAGAGAACTGTTGCAACTGTGAGACATTTGACAACTGGCAGTTGTCAGACTCAGAGGTGTGCAGCTTTCAGAAAACAATCTAGAGTCTAGAGTCTAGAGCATGGCTGATTCCCGTCGCGTGAAGTACTTGGACCATGACGTGCCCAGCAGTGGTGCTGCTCGGCGGAAGGCGCTGCAGAAGCTCTACGAGAAAACACGAATCTCGCAGCATAAAATGTGGTGCGTGATGCTAGTTTACAGGATGGAATTGCTGATGGAATCATGATAGAAAGCCTTCGGGCCACATGGGTCTTCAGCGGGGCATTTTTGCTGTTACGCTGACCGCTGACCCAAGGACGGGACAAAAAGCAAGGGGTCAATAAGCCAGCAGTGCAGCCTTTGGGGGGGGGCGCGGCGAGACACCACCACGGCAGGGGAACAATGAGGATGGTGCACGCGCGTTGAGTTTGGTTCCTGGCGACCTTTCTTGCCATCTTTGCTATAAGATGGAAGAAAAGTACACCCACGAGGTCTATGCCCTTCGTGGCTGGGCTAACTTTATGTTTTCTTGGCGCTAAGTTCTTTCAATCAGTATGTTGCAATGACGAGACACCTATTGCTTCACCAAGCATGAGGGATTGAGTTTGAGTAAGGTCAACAGGTCGAGCGTTTGGAGCAGCAATTGAGACGCAAAAACGTTGAGATTGCATGCCTGAAGCAAAAGCTTCCCGATAAACCTGCGCGAGCTTGAGGGAAAATGAACTTAGCTGACTGCTTTGGTTCAACTTTGCGCACGAGGTTGGTCGAATGCACACACGG